AAACCCCGCCTCGGCGCCCGCCGGCCTCAGTGCGCAGGCGCGGCGGCGTTCCGTTTGAAAACATGGCGCCCCCGGGGCTGCGGCTAGTTCTGACCGAGGACAGAGTTCGAGAGAAGAGCGGACTGGCGACGCACCAAGACCTGGGTACGGCTGCGGGCCGCGGGCACCGCCCCAGGGCCGCGGGCTCCGGGTGGAGCAGTTGAGGGACTGAGGGACTCGGGCTGAGGGCCGGGGCGGAGAGACGCGGGCTGCGTGAGGAAGGATATGCGCTCCCGGCGGCTGCCTCGCGTTGAGGGCGCCTGGCCGAGGGTCCCGGGGCGCTGCTGAGGGGAGCATGCTCGGGGCAGGAGGCCAGGCTGACCTAGGGAGACCCTCCGCCCTCGCGTGGACTCCCATCTTACGGGACTGCGCGTTTCCCAGACTGCGAGCGTCCGCGCGCGTGGAAATCCGCGCCGGCCCCGAGGAGTGCCTGGGGGGCCGAGATGCCGCCCTTTCCCTCGCAGCACCTGTGCACCCCCTGTGCGGGCGACAGCACCCCCCAAACCAGCGCAGGGCGCTGCTCGCCGCCGAGCCCTGGGCCCCCCGAGCGCGGGTCTGATGCGTTTGTTTCCACGTCGTTGCCCCAAGCCAGAGGTGCCCAAACCAGGTTTCAGTTCAGTCCAGAATCATTTCGAAAATAAACGTTCCAGTGAAAGGAGGGTGTCGTTTCGACCGTGGGGAAGGCTGGTTTCGTAAGAGCTTGTGTTCAATAAAGGCTCACTGCGGAGGGGTTAGCGAGGTGCAGGGCACCCAGGCCACCTTCCCACACGAGCACAGAGTGGACACGGATAGGTCAGCCCCAAAGGTGGGGTTCCACCAGGGAGCCCCCCTGCGATGGCTGCAGCAGGCGATAGGGTAGGGTTATCTAATGGGCATCTTTAACACTTTAAAGAAGCAGTAGAACTGGGACCAGACCCTATTCGGTTTGGGGGGAGAAGCCCTGGAGTGGAAGGGGTGCTGTGGGTTGGGGCATAGTGTGAAGGCCAACAATAACAGACGGACCTGTGATCACCTGTTCCTTCATGTTACCACTCACCTTTTACAAGCATCTCAGATACTTTCTGAATGAGTTTCTCTGGTGCACATAGGAGAGACCCAGCTCACCAGTAGTGGGGAAAAGAGGACAATGTTTCCTGTCTTTTCCTCTTTAGATTTTTATGTTTTGTGTGTCTAGTGTAGTTTTTAAACTAAGAATGTGGGCTTTTATCCCAATGATTTCTTTTCCATCAAAAAACAAGCAACTAAAACGTTTAAAACGCTGTCCTTTTCTGTTCTTAGCCGAACTTCGATCATTATCTGTTCCTGGAACTTACCAAGAAAAGATTACAAACCTAGGCAACTCTCTGATGAATTTAACAGGCCTAAAATCTTTAGATCTCTCACGCAACTCACTGATTAGTCTGGAGGTAAGTTGTAGGAGTGTGTTACAGGGAGGGCCCCTGCTGTGAACGGCAGGGGACGTGGGCAGGGTGCAGTCTTCTGTACTGACTTGTGGGTAAGCACCTCCACCTGCGCACACCGCAAGCAGTGTTGTTCCTGGAGTTTACCCTGAGGGAGATGCTTGCGCATTCTGTTACAACCATTCTGGACAACCAAAAGCCATAGCTCACCGAAAGAGGCCAAAGAGGCCGTTGTATCTTGAAAGGAAATAAAATAAGGCCCCAGACACTAATGTGTGGGGCTTCTTGCTCTCCATCCCTTCATTGGCAATGTTTTTCCATCTACTCTGGTGGCCTCCAGGCCTTGAGTGACAACCTCACTCAAGTGACAAGGTGGGGGCTGGCTACCTTCTCTGAACCCCAGCCTGAGAGCGGGCATGGGCTCAGCACAGTCTCTGCTGCTGAGTGAAGGATCACTCGGGCCAGTGGTCCACGGGGATGCCTGGGCTTTGGGAGAAGCTGGCGGGGAAGGCGGCTCTTTGGCATTGTTCGGGGAACCCACACAGCCACTGGGGATCCTCCCCAGGCCAGATGTCAGGACCCTCACCCTCCCTGAGCCGCCTCCTTTCTCCGATCGAAAAGTGAGCGTAAAAGGAATTCTTAACCAGGTAGGACTGTGGACAGAGGTCAGGGCTCTGTCCTGTAGCCTGGTGCAGACTGAGTACCCCATGAAGGTCAGTGTCCACAGACCCGACGTGGTAAATGCAACGTCACTGGATCAGAGGGCCTCAAAGAATTCATGGGAAAAGTCAAATATCTCTTCATTTCATTTTCCCACATACTGCCCTACCGATGTTCTTTCTGGTACTGCGGCGACTGACTCCAAGTGGATTTGTCAAGTCTGTAGGGCCCAGTTGGTTTGGGGCCCGCCTTGCCATTTATTACCTGTGTGGACTCACCCAGCATTTCCTCCCGATACAGGGCATCCAGTACCTGACTGTGCTGGAAAGACTCAACCTCTACTACAACTGTATTTCCTCGTTAGCGGAAGTCTTCCGGCTCCACGCACTGTTGGAGCTCACGGAAGTGGACTTCCGCCTGAACCCTGTCGTGAAGAACGAGTCTGATTACCGCCTTTTTGTGGTGCACATGCTCCCACACCTCCGGCAGCTTGGTAGGCACTCGGGTGCTGGGGGCAGGTTACCCTGGGAATGCTCCCGCTTCTGAGCAGCAGGGTCAGGCTGTTCTGTGTTCCCCGTTAGTCCTGTGTGGAAGGCACGTCTTAAGCAGGACACTGAGGGCTGTGAGTCCCTATCCTGTGTCCTGTAGGACCAGTGCTTGATGGACGGCTGCCAGGGTAGGTGGGAAAGGGGCCCTACGTGCAGACAGGAAGGTGGACACACAGACTGGATCAGCTCTGCTCAGTCACGCGCCACATGGAGAAGGACCCCTCCTTCCCCATCTGCCCTGGGGCCCAGTCCTGCACCTGTTGGGCCCCTTCTCTGTGTGGCCCATGAACAGCAGAAGCATGAGTCTAGACTCCTGCGAGGGCCACCGGGCCCCCGCTGTGACACACTGGTCCTTTGGACTGCTGGCTCCTTTGTGTGCTTCCTGCCTAGATGACCGCCCAGTGAGAGAGAGTGAGCGGAAAGCATCCCGACTGCACTTCACGTCCGAGGACTCGCTGGACTCCAAGCCCATGTTCCCAGCTGCTCTGAAAGGTGGCAGGTAGGAGCAGAGTGGCCCTGTAGCACACAGGGCAGTGCGTTTCTCAGATTTGTCTAACTGGTCTATGTGACCTCCGTGGGCCCCATGGCCATGTCAGAGGCTGGTGCGCAGAGAAGAGAGGGTAGTAGTGGCACCTGGTGCCACTGAAGCCTGAGGTGACAGTGAGGTGCTTCCTGCTCCCACATTCTCTATATGTTTCTCCCAGGCCAGGTGGGTCCTAAACCCAATCACACTTACATAGAGGAAGGACAGATTAGGAGGGAGAGAGGGAGAGAAATGTCAAGGACCACCCAGAACCCAGTAGAGAAGCCCGTGAATGGACTTTGCGCCTCCAGAACCAGGAGAATGTCGAGTTCTGCCCTGCAGGACATCCGCTGCCCACCACGGCTAGTGCTTTCAGTGGCAACCTCACTGATGCTCTGCAGCAGTGGTTCTCAACCTTCCCAGTGCTGCGACCCTCTCACAGTTCCTCATGTCGTGAGCCCCAGCCATAAAACTGTTCATTGCTACTTCATAACTGTAGTCTTGCTATTGTTATGAATGGCGCGACCTCTGTGAAAGGGTCATTCGACCCCCAAAGGGGTGGCAACCCACATGTTGAGAACTGCTGCTCTGCGGAGGCTTGTGCATCAGGGTTGATCTTGGGGGACTGGGCGGGGTTTCCCTCCGCTGTATGTGGGGTCACTGAATCAGAACCCACTTGACAGCACTGATCACAGATTTGTCCTTTGAGCTCTTGACTGCTGCTTCCGTGAGCATTGATTACGGAGCCAACTCATTGAGCTCCTGGGCAGCCTCTGTCTCTTCTCTGAGTTGGCTTTTCCTCACAGGCCTCGCCACTGCAGGGCCCAGGGCGCCGACCCCTTGTCTAAGTGCCAGGTCCTAGACGCCGACGACGAGGCTGTCCTGAACCTCATCGCTGAGTGCGAGTGGGACCTGAGCAACCCGCCTGGGAGCACAAGCTCCAGCCAGAGAGAGCGGGAGACGGACTTCCCCAGCTCACAAGGTACGCGGCCCCACCATGGCAGCTCTCTCTGGGTCCTCCGGGCACCATTGCCCGCATTAGAAGACTTGACTTCAGGGTGGCAACTCGGCGAAGGTGGCCCAGGTTTTGGAATCCATCAGTCCCTCAGACAGTGGAACCGCGGAGGGAGAGTCGGTGCGGCCTGATGGCCACTGTCTACGTGGTGTCCCTCTCCGGCCAGTGGAAGGGGGATGGGCTTCTGTGGCTGCAGAGCTGAATTCATTTCCAAGGAGGGGGTGCCCCTGCTTTTAGGGGCCTTAGGAGTCCAAGCCCCAATGAGGACGCAGGGCACCGCTCAGTCTGTGTGCCTTGCTGGGACAGTGAAAAGGCCCCCATCCGATGGCTTTCTCTGAGCTCTACCTGGAACCAGTGGCGTGTACACACAACAGGCCAGAAGCCCCAGGCCCTCCGCCTTTGGCAGTGCCCCCTCCTCCCCTTCATGCGAGCCAGCTCCCAGGTTTCACACGCACCTGATGGTACACGCAGGCTCAACTTGATCAGGCTGGTGAGGAAACTGAGAGCACACCAGGAAATGACACACGGAGGCCGGCTGAGTACTGCTGCTCTGCTCCCTGCCCCTGCGGCAACACTGAGGTCCCCAGGACTGCCCTCCCCATGCTAGAGGGGGTGAGCTGTATGCCCCGAGATCTCCCAGGCCCAGAGAGGCCTGGACAGCAGTGATATGGGTGTCGCACCTTGAGAACACCTGTCCACTCCTGAGGGACGACAGGAGTGGTATGGGAGGCTCACTCTGAGACCACCTGTGTCCTCTCCAGAGGGGACTGGACAGGCGTGGTGTAGGGGGCTCACTCTGAGACCACCTGTGTCCTCTCCAGAGGG